CATGGTTTTTTATCCCAAAGATGACTTCATATGGGTGTGGGTGTTTTTTGTCGATCTCACTAATGATTTTACGAGTTAAAACGCGTTCATAGGAGTCAATAGATTGTAATGCCGCAATGTCGTATAGACAACTTGAATTTTTTTTTTCTTTCAATACTGATTTACTGTATTTAATATTGGCTCATTATAGCTCGTTTATTTAGCGGAATTTAGGCTTTTTATATTAATATATTGTCTCATGAACATTAAAATATAGAATGCTAAATCCAAGGTAACACGCTTAGTATTTATACAACATATGAGTATATATAGAGAGAAAAGCGAATCTTTCTCAATCCGAATCATATTGTTGCGAAATATTCGCATGACAAAGTCACACATGTGCATTGAATTTCTAGTCAATCTTTAGACGAAGCAAAATTTTTATTGAAGAAGATTGTACTATGAATTGCATCAATACTTTATATTTAGTTGGGGTAATTCGGATCATTTTTCAACAAAAATTGATATATCTCAGGTATTGTTTAGCCATTTTACATACGAAAAAAAGATTTTTTCACTAGCAGATAGCCTCAAGTGTTCTCTATCGAGTGATATAAAAATCTTTCAAAGGAATTATTATTTTTAGTGAGTTTTTACAAAAATAGTACAAGTTGTAAAGAAGTAATCCAAATTACTCCGACTGGGATAATTCGGATTAATAAGCTATTTCACTTCGGGTAAATGGAATCATTCCAACAAATTCTACTGACAGTAACTTTAAAAATCTCTATGACTTCTTCAATGTATTTTCAAGTATTGATGCCGAGAGACAAGTGGCTCGTCACACTTTACTCTATCTTTCTGCACAAGATGAGAAAAAGTAATCTTGTTGGACTATGAATCATGGTATTTTGGGAAACAATTAACAAGAGTATATTTTTTGGATTCATTTACCGATATTTCACTTAAAATTCTATTTTTACCATACGTATCAGGAAACAAAGTTTTCCTTCTTCAACTCAGTAACATTTCAGCTACACAATGATATTAAAATATTTAGTGTTATTATTTGATATAATCGAATTTGAAACTACTAATGAAATAGCATGGTATTTCAATATCACGAAAATTCTTATTTTTCGCGTTTTAATTTCTAATTTGCACTTTTCTATCTAAGGGTATGGGTGTGAGTTCAAGTATTTTACTAGCTAACACCTGCACCCCTTACCCTCGTCCTGCATCATTTTTAATACTGTATTGATTGTGTTTGGTCGTTCGGCTCATATTTTTAGGATAGTAAATTTCCAAGTGTCGAAATCAGCTTTGTGAGTATTTGTATCGTCAGTTTGTAAATCATCTTTCGAATAATTGAACAATGCTGAAACTTCGGAAAATTGCATATTGACAATATATGACATTATTAACTTCAAGGGAGTCATAGCAATTTTTTTAATGTTCATCTGTACAAGCATACAGCTTACATTAATTGATTAACACAAATATTATTTTATACACATAATTATTGAGAAAATGCTCTTGAAGTTCAAAAAACAGCAACTTAGCAGATAGTTTTGAGAAGGGGCTGAGGTATCGATCTTCCATCTAAATACACCCTGTATTGTTTCCCGTCTTGTTTCGTTTACTATTCAAGCTGTTGCCACTACAATCCTTATAATTTCTTTTGCTGAAAGTTGAACCAAGACAATAAGAGAGAAAATTAGTCTTTTTTATAGCTGTTCTCAAATATAAACTATTTCCAACTCAAATCAGAATTCTATATCAATGAGTTAATCAGTATCCTTTCCTCTTTACCTTACATGACATTTTTCATTCAATCAAGCTTGGACCAAACTAAAACTTGGGATTAATGTATTGGGTGTGGTGGAAGAGAAGAACCATACGTCCACATGGTCGTACCCACAGCCACAACCACATCCTCATTGTAATGAGTTCAAAAAGGACATATATCAACGAAAATTTGCACTACACGTGTATTTCTGTGTTGCCTACACTGCCCGATGATCAGTTTGAAGGAAATATTTCTCTAATGTCGTTCTATTTTACTGTAACATGATGGGATCTCTTGTAAGCATAGCAATCGAAATTTATTCGCAGCAAACTTCGAAAAGACAGTAAAAGATTGCTGGAGAATATTTGTCTAGGTGATACGTGATTTGTCGTAGTCTCTTCAACAAAAAGAAACATTTGGTGCCATTCATCATACAGAAATCAAATTCAAATATATCATCTGGATATACCTTAGAAAAGCTCTGTGAGACTAGCAGTAAATTATGAAATCTCAGTGCTAGTGAATATTCAATGAACATCTTCAAATTTTTGAAATATGAGTCGAATGACAATCAAATGACGAATACTCAGGAACTTCTATAAAATCCATTAGAATTGTTTATAACTCTGACCGACTCAGTTTTTACGTTGTATATGAACCCAGTAATAAATTTCATTTATTTTGAACTTCGTTCCATTAGAAAACATGAGAATAGTGAAAATGAAATAACTGTTTTTTCCTGCCGATAAGTATGTAGTCGTCATGTTTTTATTGAAACCTTTTTGTACAACTCCACGCTATTTTTCTTGTTTTCACATATGAAAAGATATAGTTTTTCCCTAATTTTAAGATATATCATTATTTTTGTAGGATTCCCTACATGTTATGTATTTTCATGGTAAGTACGTGAAGAAAATAATATGGAAAATTAACAAAATCTTGTCGTTGTATTTGAATCGTTATATTCAATGAGAATCATATGAGAGCGTGTCTTATTTGTAAAGAATATTGTGTAGCTGAATTGACGCCGGCAACTGTTATATCCTATTGAAATGGATGTGAACAAATTTTGTTAAAGCTATAGAATGCATAAATAAATTCAGAAAAATGATTTTATTTTTCTGATTCGATATCATTAATCAATTTTCTATCACCAATAGCATAAGACTAAATTATTCATAGATTTGAATATGTTGATTGTTGTATACGTGTATACAAATGACTTTTCAAGCTATGCACATAAGAACACAAAAATGTAGACTTTATCTCCATTGACTTTGGTTGATGTTTCTCTTTAATTAAGATCCTTTATTTTGTCAATATCAATGATCAACTTCAAAATGACGTCGATAATATTGTTTCCTTCAATGATATGATTTAGTGAGTCTTTTTTACTTGGTTGTTTGTTTCGATCATTGTCGATATAGATGTTTAAGAGTATACTCTATTTCTGTCATTGACATTTTTGAAGCATGATACTTCGATGATATACAAGCACGAATAATTTTTTGTTTTGTCACTGCTTTTTTCCATCAAATCTAGTCGATCTTTTCTCGACTCTTCGATGTATGCTCGAGCTCGTGCTTCCAATTAAATGATTGCAAAATTTCTGAGAAATAATTTTCGTGTTCATATTATTAGCGTAATTTATCATGGTGTCAAATAGAATCAAATTCTTCAATTGAGAAGTTCTAACAAACTGATCGTCACTCTGTTTACACTTTTTCAGTGGTCTCCATTTGAAAACACTTCTTCATTGTCTACATATTCAACATCAATTTTCGATAATAAATGGTATTCAGATAGTTCATCATCCACAATTTCACTTAAAGTTATTTGTAGTGAATTGAATTATTTTATCGTTGACTAAAACCAATTTTGAGCAAATATTGAGAATATTTGTAGTTTTCAGTATAGAAACGATTTGTTTTTCAAACTCTAAGTTGACTAATAATATTAAACATTTTCCTTTTATCTCGAGATTATGTAAACCAAATGGACTTTAGACGTTTGTTGATAGTCCAATTTTTCTAACATTTTATACGATATTAGTGATGCACGACCGAGTCGACAAAATTCACATAGTGTACAGACAATTCCAAAAAAAGACCATCGGATCTTTTCAAGCACTAACTCACTAATTGTTCATTATGGTATGCACCTATAAAACACTAACAAGACTTTTTATCAACATTAAAAACTTTCAAAATTCTTTCATCTAAAACTCACCAAATACTGGTAAATGTTCGATTCCATATCGAATTAGACCGAGCAAAAACATTGATTTATATGCCCAAAAATGCCGAATGACGATGTCTAAAATTTTGTTATATCAAAATACTTTTATATTTAAGGTGTTAAAAAACAACACAAAAATTACTTTGCTCCAGTATTCTGTGCTTTTTGAAAAGAACAATATAACTCACGTGTAAATTAGTTGTATAGTTAAACATCTAGGATATATCGTTTGCGAAATAGATGCTTTGATTTCTTTATCTACCTGGTGATGTATGTTGCATAATTTTTACTTTCGTCATTACTAATGTTTCCCAATCAATTTCTATTTGAATGGAAGGAAATATATCTTCTACTTGTTTCTATGTTCTCATCTATTATCAGACGATCAATCATAAAACTGAGTGAAGCAAACACAAGTGCGACACATTTGATTTGATTTTGATCGTCAACAAATAATTTATGCGGTCATGTATATACCTTAGTAATGAAGCCTCATTGTAAATGATCGAGTAACTTTCATAGCGAAACCATTTCGGAAAATGTACTTTTCATCAAACGATGATCTTCTTTCTATCTTACAATGGCGTTATAGATTGAAGAGCTCACCAAAAAACTTAATACCGATCGAATCGTTGTATCACTATTATGCTCTGATAAAAATAAAAGCGAATTTTACATAATAACGGCATATTTTGTTTCAAGGTTTTTTTTCTTATCTTTTGTGGTGACTACTTATACAACGTTATTTACTTGTTTATCACGCTAAAAATTTTCGCTCATCGTTGTGTATATAAAAGTTGGTCAAAAATGAATTATATAGATTTTTTCATGATTTACTCATAGCAATTGAATAAAAAATGTTAGTCAGACACATTTTTCGAGAACAAGCTGCAATTTACTTCAGTATCTAGTCGAGTTTGTGATTATCGTTGAAAAGGTGCCGAAAAAGCTCTACCGTGAATCATTGCTTGAAAGAGGACAAAATGCGCTGGGTAATTTTTCTTCTACAATTGGAGTCTTATTGGTCAGCAAGACTACTGTAACACCACCTATAATGAATACAGCAGCAATAATGTGTTGAAATGACAAACGTTCTTCGAGAAAAATAGCACCCAATATGCAAGATACCAGAGGTTGTAAAGCTGCTGATAGTCCACAGACAGTTGGATGAAGCCATTTATTTGCATAGGAATATAGAACGGTAGCGATACCGGACGAACATATACCAGAATATAAAGAGCCAACTAATTGTAGTTTACTAATATTCATCCATTCCATTGTACCACTGATGCTGCAAGAAACAAGACTAAAAATAACAAATAATGGTGTCACTAAACCGTACGAAAAGGCTACGGTGACTACGGGGGAAAGATGTGAGAGAATTGGCAGTTGCATCCACGTGTATACACTAAAGCACATAGTATTGCCAATCAAACAGATAAAACCAAGAATACGATAGAATTCAAAACTTGATGATGAATCCATTGATAATGGCGATTGTATAGGAGATTTACTTATCAATATCCATATGGCACCTATGATACAAGAAATGATTCCAACTGCTTGCCATTTAGAAGAAACAGCGGACTTGAATTGTTGACTAGTGAGATTATATCGATCGCATACAATTCCAATCACAGTCGTAAATACAATAATTAGTGGCTGAAATAATGCCGCTTCCGAAGTCGATGTCCATTTTAACCCGAGAAGAAATAAAAATGAGTTGCCTCCGACCAGTAGAATGCCAAGGCTAAATAGTCGTGGAAAAAAGACTCTCGGTGCATTTCGTAGACCGATTGGATCGATAATCCTAGCCATCGAAAATAAGAAAGGACATGCAAAGACACATCGCAGTGTTAATACTGTCAATGGTGAAATTTGCTTTACTAAGGTGCGACCAATAACATGCCAACCGCACCAGAGAAACACAGCAGTCAAAAGACATAAGATACCCCAGACTCGTAAGATTGTCATGATGAATGTACACTAAAAAACAAACATTCTTCAAACACAACGTAATGACAGTGTGCTCCGTCCTTAATAACTGCTCGTTGTACCAGGCATGAAGCTTGTTTCAAACGCACTCCTATTACAAACTGTTCAAATAGCAACGAAGAGTCCTTTAAGAAAAATGTGTATACTAATACAGACACTTTTTCGATTCTTAACTTTGGTTATGCAGAGACCGTATCCAAACAATAAAACATCAACTGAACAGTTACCTATTACGAGAATAACCCAATGATGACAGATGATGTTACTCAACTGTGTTTATCACTTAGCCATTAATGATTATTGCAGTCTATTCTTCTTGCTTGTGTATGTGAGGAGAGAAACAGAACATGCTGCGATTTCCATGAAGAACACTGATAAAACTATTATTACAGCTTCGTCTGAGTGTAGTGCAAACAAACAACAGTGAAAAGATACTTACCAATGAATGAGTTGACAACCTGAGGTGAAAGAAAAATGAATAAAAGTTTCCAAAATGCATCACAGTTCTAATGTGTCAAGGACAGTTTTCATTAATCTTTTCAGCTAGTCATAGATGACTTCGCTTTTCATTTTCATACTCACCTCTTCGAACGAAAAATAACAACGATAGACACACAAAACAATTTTCAGAAACAGCAGAACGGTGCTCTTTTTTCAATTCTTCACAGCCGACACATGACAGAAGGAAGCGAAAATCTGACTAGTGTCACTAATCGTGATGTATCGAGTAATCTTTTAGCTATGAATCTCATGAATCATTACAATCGAAGGATTTAGACAAGTTCATTTTTACCCTTGCATCCATCTCTAAAATATTCGTTGCCGTTGCAGTCATGCAACTTGTCGATTTACAGCTCATCGATTTGAATGCAGACATTAATTATTATTTATTGGCTTCTGGTCAACATATTTCTCATCCATTCTATCCATCATATTCGATCACTCTACATCAATTACTTTCTCACAGATACTTGATTAATTCCAACACTAATCAAGCTTTAGCTTCTATACAATTAGAAGATAATACTCCATTTTTACAGATGACTGTGACTGAAGTGAAGTTGTTTCCTTTGCCTGTATTAGTCGTCAAACAAGTAGCAAAAATGCCCTTTGAACATTATATCAAAGAAAGAGTCATCCAACCGTTGGAAATCGATGTAAAGAAAAACAAGTTTTCATCTGATAGATTTCAATGCTGACGAGTGGCCCTCATTTAGAACTTTATAATGGTATTGTAGCGTGTGAGTTAAGAGGAGACTCACATCCACACTCTCTGATGAATTCAAATGGGAAATACGCAATAATTGATGTTACTAATAGAAAAAAGTGCATAAGAAATTTTTAAAAAGTCAATACTGCGTATATTCGATACTCAAAGTGATTTCTTAGCTAAAACTGTATCAATATTATTTTAGATTTGTTTATAAACTTTTGGTTTTCTCTTTCAATAATTTGTAAGCATAGGTAACAAATTTTAAGTTCGAAGGTACCTTTGTCACACTCTGTAAGGATCGAAGTGAGAAACAGTCTAAAGCTCTCACTCTATACTACATCGTTCCTTTTAGTTCTTGTTTCATAAACAGTTAATTATATACATTTATGAGAGTAAATGTTTATATTCATTGATATTATTAAATATTTATTCCATGAATATATACATTGGAAGTGAATTATATAAAACGAGAAACGGTAACGTGTTGGATCTGATCGAGTCGATTGAATTCACTTAGCAACGTTATGAAATAGTGCAATCCAATACAATATTTGTTTAAAACGTAAATAGTTTTGATTAGATAACTTTACATAGATCTTGTCAGATTATGCTTAATCGAGTATCAGACTTTAATTTTTCCTGTACTGTTTTCTAAACAATGTAGAATTGAGATATGTTGTTATATAAGAATATTTGATTAATTAAAAACATGCTAATAATGTATTCTTACGTTGTTTTAATCAGTGAGGAATAAGTATGTATCTTTGTTTGATCATTCTATTACACCTATATTGGAATTATTTAAATAATAGAATATGTTATTATATGTGTATGTTACACCACTTTTATATTTCTTGTGTTGATTATTTTTCAAGTCATTATTTGATGACAGTTCATTTGAATCTGAATTATTTCTTCGAATTTTTCAAACATTTCCATTTATAAAAGAAAAATTAAACTATCGAACTAATGAAAAGTCACAAAATGATCAACCATGTAGAAAATAAAAAAAGTGACAATCAAAATTTATCAATTATTGAATGTTTTCATTTGAATGAACTTAATCTTACTAAAGTTTATACAGATTATGCCGAAAAATTCCTAGTATATAACAAACAGTGTTTATCAAATAACATATATCTTCTTCTTGCTGATTATGGATTATTTAGATACATATATTTTTCAAATGAATCAACATTATGTCGACATTTTAAATACAATTTTATTCATAGAAAAATATTTTGATTATTATGAATTATTCTTTGAACTAAACTTAAAGTCAAAGGAAAGAAATCAAATATTTAAAAAGTTGCGTTACAAGAAAAAAAGATATTTTATTTAGAATTATAACTACTCTAAATATGTGCCATTGTATAACATGAAATACACTTTTTTTACATCGAAAAAATGAATAGAAAAGTGTACGTATGTGAGACACTTGGAGGATCATTATCAAGTCTTTATTTTCCTTATATTACGTAGATTAAATAATAATTAATTAGGACTAGTGTCTACTCTGAGAAAACGAGGGTTTCCTTATAAACCGCTTACCAGGATTTGATTGTCGTAAAATCGGAATAATGTTCACTTGATAAAATAGATGAATATAACAAATAATAATAATAATAATAACGAAAAAAATCAATAACAACAACAAAAAAGACATCGACCATGACCATCCGATCAAAACAGAAAGAAAATACATACTACAGTTTTATAATTAGCGTCAATGAGCGTCATCTATTGGCACTAACCACTTAATAAAAAAATCAATTAAGATAAATAAAAATAATACATCTTAATAAAGATCTGAGTGAATAGAAGATTCACATCAACAATTTTTTAAAACTTTAACTCTTTGTTAATCTTCTTACTTCGGAACTTTATTTCTGTCCCTGAGGTCCGCCTGGATCCATCCATAGAAAATTACAAAAAACTGAAAGTTTTGTTTTATTCAAACTATCCATTTATGTACTATATATCTCTAAATACTCTTTCTATAGAGACAATATAAAGACATTAAATGTCAAAAATAAGATTATCTGGAACTATTTTCATAAAAGTATTGAAATATAACTAGAAAAAATCCTACATCCAGACACTTAAGTCTAGAGCAATAGAAATATACTGTTATGTTCCTATATACAATTATCTATGGATAAGAGCACGAGAAATTTTTTTTCATTAACTGGGATGTGCGTGTGTACAAAGAAGAAGCTCACTAAAACCCACCCTGTTTTCAAAAGAACTGAGTGACTGAAACACTCAGTTGATTTCTTTGATAGGGAACTCTCACAGGTCTAAATAACGGTATTAAAGTAGCACTGACATTATTTTTGGATTGTCCTAAGTATTTTAAGTTAGCAAGAAAATGACATTCCTACAACTGAATCTATCCTCTGTGAACAAGCCCTTCTTGAAATTTCTTTGGATAAAAAAAGGAGGTAAATTGAATACTGTGATACATCGCTTTGCTTCATCATACAATAATAACAAATGAAAGAAGTATGGAAGACAGCTTTTTTTCTTGAAAAAAAAATGTTAATGCTCATTGCAACTGATTAAAGACAGCATATCTTGTGTATATATATTTTATTGAATTTGAATATGAAGATATTACAAAAAAATCAAGAGATAATAGTTGAAGAATAAATGTTCTATTAAATTGATCGTGTCGAATCGAATAATTTTGTCTGCTTGTCTGTTTGACGTTAACTGAAAGAAAAAGTAATATGAATGAATAAATACAAAGAATATAATCTAGAATGAAATACACAGACGAGGGAATCAATTTTAAAAGCTCAAATATATATTATTAGTTACATAAGAGAGAAAAGTTGACTTCACCTATTTAATAGTTCTGAAACTAAGTTGTGGGGTATGCACTAAGAACCTGTAAAAAGTTTATAGAAAAAACTTCTCTCTCAAGCATCTTAGTTTGATACAACATACCGATTTATTGATTTCCTTTTTCAGATATTATTTTTCTTTGATGACGAGATACACAAGAATTACACAAGCATATTGAAGGCAAGAATAATGAATGATTCGAACAAGTGTTTTATGCCAAATTCATATTAAATCAATACTAAATAAAGGGAAAAGGTCATATACTTAACGATCACACGGCGAATGAACAATTTTTAGTAAGCTTCTATTCGAATATTTCGTTTTGTTTCAAATGGAAGCTCCAGAACTACGTGAATTCAATAATTGACGATCACATAGCCGATGCATAGTTCTTACCAAATACCTGATAAAATACCTTTTTTTAGTTAAAATCAACTGTTCAGAAATGATGATAAACTCAAAGATACATAAAAAATGAATAATTCAGATAAATACGTGCTCATTCAAATATTTGACTTATTTCAAACCTAAGTATCGAGTTCATTAATAAACTGTATGATTATCTTACAAATGAGTAGTTACTACGATGATTCGATTCAAATATTTAGTTTACCTGAAAAAACAACCCATAAATTTTGAAAGAGATTTGTTATTTTAGCAATCATACTATAAATGAATACCTCGTATTAAGTTTTCTATCAAATATGTCACTTTGTACCAATAAAAGATTGAAAGTCGATAACTTAACTCTAATGTAACACAATAAATGAAAATTTTATAACACGCTCTCCTATACCAGTATGGTACTCATTTCGAAAAAACGAATTTTAAAGGAATTCTATTACCATCAATCGTCTAATAGATGAATAGTTTATAGGAAGTTTCTAATAACATATATCATTTATTGGAACTCAAG